TCCTGGAACTAGCTCTTGTAGACCAGGCTGGCCTCCAACTCACAGAGATCCACCTGCCTCTGCCTCCTGAGTGCTGGGATTAAAGGAGTGTGCCAACACCACCCGGCTTTTTTCTGTGATTTCATAAGCTATTACTTTTATCCTGCTATAAACAAGCCTGTCCCGGCCCTTTATTCATGCCATGGACACTTACCACTGAGGTGAAGGAAGGAAGGAAGGAAGGCTCTCCTGCCAGGATCGCCTGCCCTCTTCTGTTAGCTTGTGTCCACAGCCAGCTAAGCATGTCCACTCCTGTGAGGTGGTTGTCCTGCACATGGGTGCTGGGATGAGACATTCCTGGGGATCCCCAATACTCCCGTGCGGCCTGGAGCCTATGGAAAGACACACTGAAACGACGCACATGCGTCTCATTCCCGCACCCCACAGTCCTTCCTTCCTTGCACCCACCTTTCTCCTCCTCCTCCTCTCCACTCTGGGATTCCCACGCTGGCGAGTCCTGAGTCGCACTCCTTCTGCCTACAGTCTCCGTGAGCATTAACAACCTTTACCCGGGCTGTGAGAACGTGAGTGTGAGGAGCCGAAGCATGATGTTCGAGCCGGGCCTCACCAAAGGGATGCTGGAAGTGTTCGTGGCCCCGTCTCATCACCTACACTCCTCAGCTGATGACCAGTCCACCAAGGCCATTGACATCCAGAATGCTTATTTGAACGGTACACCCTACCTACCCTGAGGGAAGGGACTTGGGTTTTTCTTTCACAGGGCTTCAAGTCGTTACCCAAAGGCAGTTTTTTCTAAGCAGGATCTGCTACATCCAAAGAAATCCCTGCGCAAGACTAAAGATGGTTGGCTAACACACTAAAAGCAAAACTGCACGGTAGGGGGCTATCAGCACCCAGCAAAACACCTAGCACCCAGTAGGTGCTTAATAAATGACTGCTTGGGTGATTAGTGCCTTTTAAAACGTAGAACTGACACATACTAGTGGAGCACACAGACCATCGTTGTTGGATGAAGGAGGCTGGAAAAGGTGATGTCTAACACGGGGACAGTCGTGCCCAATGCTGTGGGAATTCTCTGAGTGTTTTGTTATCTGTTTGCTTATGAGACAAGGACTGTCCTGTAACCTAGGCGTGTCTCAGTGCAGCACCCCAGTGAGTTCACTTCCTTCCTCTGCCCTACATTTCATCGCCCGGCCTCCTAGCACCCCACATCGTAGGGCAGGGCTCTTGTGCATGAGCCACACCCAGACCCCAGTATGCTGTTCCAGCCCCTGAGGTTCCTGTCCCCATAGTGCAGTCATTCTGTTGTTACTAAGTTCCAAAATCTTACCTCCGAGCCCAAGTCCAAACCAGGCGTTGTGGCGCATACTCCCAGCACCCAAGACGAGGCAGTGGGATCACCACACGCTCAAAGCCAGCCGGAGCTAGAGAGTGAGACCCTGTCTCAGAAACACAAAGAAAAATAGTTCATCCGGGTCTCAGCTCAGACTTAACCTCCTTGCAGCCAAGGACTTATGTGAGTCGATGAATGAGTTGGCTACTTTCCTGAGACACTGTGGCGTGTGTGTGTGCGCGTGTGAGTGTGTGTGCATGTGTGCACATCTGTGTGTCTGTGTCTCAAAACAGGTCCTGCAAGTCCTGTTTCTGTTCTGAGAACTTTCCACTGTATGCTGAGCCTCCAATATAGGGTGTGTAGGGTGTGTGTGTGTGTGTGTGTGTGTGTGTGTATCTAAAATCACGTGATTCTGGGTGTTTGGCTCATTCTCTGGAATCTGACGGGACTGATCTCTTCTTTCCCTGATTGGAGCTCTCCCTCTTTATATAATAATACAAAAGGGGAAAATATCAAAGTTTGTTTATATACACAAACACTTCCATATCTGCATCTGGCCCCACACACCTGTGACACACAGATATATCTGTGGGGAATTTAGAGTAAATATGCTGTAGATCTAGCCAAAGCTATCTTAGTGAGAACCTTTACGAGGGTGTCATGTAGACACCGATGGGAGAGGGACAGGCATAGAGCACTGGGCACACACAGACACGTGCAGCATGTGTCACAAACCCTGTGCAGAGTACCTGGAATGCTAACAGCCACTGAAGCTACTGTTTCCTGACTGTAGCCGCTGTTTTCTTTCTGAAGGAGTTGGCGATTTCAGTGTCTGGGAGTTCTCCGGAAACCCGGTGTACTTTTGCTGCTATGACTACTTCGCTGCCAACGACCCCACGTCCATCCATGTCATCGTTTTCAGTCTGGAAGAACCCTTTGAGATCCAGCTGAACCAAGTGATTTTCTGGCTCAGTTTCTTGAAGTCGCTGGTCCCAGTTGAAGAACCCATAGGTGAGCAGGGCCCTTCCTTCTTTGCTCCTGCGATGCTTCAGTTGGGGTCCTCATGCTGGCCACACTCAGACCTTACAGAATGGACTCCCCGCTCAGTCCTGAGCCATCCTTGGCAGCCGCTTCTCTCCCCTGCTGCATTTCATCACCAAAGTCATCGGTGCTGAGCGCACAGTGCAGTCCTCTGGCCATTACTCTTGATTCCTTCTGGAAAGTGCATTCATCAGCAGAAGGGGCTGTCTTTCCATCTGCAGCTCCATGTAGCCCTGGGGAAAAGGCCCAGGTAGCATGCCTTAGCATGTTGGCTAGAGGAGATGGTGATGGAATAACACTTTTATGAGGAGAGGCCCTGTCTGTGTGAGCTGGAGACTGCTTGTCTTTGGGCTTTCTCCTGTGTGTGGTTGCACTCAGAAGGCTTTCTTTGTTCCCATGAGAGCTGTCCCCAGTTGCAAATGTCCCCCTCACATATCACATCCTTAAGGGAGCCCCTGAGAGCAGCTTCCTGTGTTGCAGTCCACCCTGCTTTCTGCTGAGAACTCCAGTGGAGTGTCAGGAGAGTGCCACACGCATTTGGGTCTGTGGGCAGGTTGCTCATCACCTGAACAGGCGAACTATGCTTGAGGCCAACACATTCCCTCTAGGGCAGGAGAATCAGCTGGGGAGGAGGTTAGACTCTCAAAGGGTGCACTTTCTCCCTCAGCATTTGGAGGCAAGCTGAAGAACCCTCTCCGAGTTGTCCTGGTGGCCACACATGCTGACATCATGAATATCCCTCGGCCTGCTGGAGGCGAGTTTGGATACGATAAGGATATAGCCTTGCTGAAGGAGATCAGGAACAGGTGAGG